ACACACAGTTGTGCAAGATGATTAACTCGAAAGCGAAGAGGCTATTTCAGAAATCTAAATGAAGGACATCTACGCTAGGACGAGTTACAGCCAAATCCCAAGGACAAAAAGTAACACCACAATCACTGCGCTATCACAGACTAAGGAGAGATACAGCCATATTTCGTGAAGCAGGTTATTGATCCATGCGGTGGGCAAGATCAAACAGTCGGATGATGACGCACAATGGCAGTATTAGTGTCGATCAAAGCGGCGGCGGCGACGACGACGACAACAGCAGCGATAAAGAAAACGGTCAGATTGGAAAATTGACAAATAGAGCGTTTGGTTGTGACTGGGGCGGAAAGTGGCGCCGGTGGGGTCTACAAACTGAATAATGCTCGATTGAGAAAAACCGAATTGCGTGAAAATGCGGATTGCATGTATTTCAAAGAATCCATCAATAATGGTGTCTTGCGAAAAATAGCCGGGAGAGAGTTTGGCAATGCACAATGATCAGAATGAACGTTTTACTGTTTTCATTGTTAAGCAAATTTTGCTGTCAATTTAACAGGGAAATCATAAAATCCACACAGGCACACACACATACACATACATAAATCAAAACCATAGGCATGGTCAAAACCAAACTACGGATCACCAACTTCCAAGTTCGCACTGTCGAGACCGCAATTGTGTCCGTGAGTGCCTACGGACAAACCTACCTCAAAGCACTGCACACCTCGACCGAAACGATGTGGCACCACAATTTGCCTTAAGGTGTTTGATGTTTCAGGAGGGGCTTATCTGATGGAATTGAACCAAAGACAAGCAAGTCTGGTCTTGGCAATGCGTATTTCGGAGTTGACACAGCATTTGGGTAATAGCCAGCTTTGCCAGTTTTGGCAATCTTAGGATTGATAACGTATATATGGGCATAGAAACTGAATAGGTGCGCAACCGTCACTATTTGCACGCTGTCCTATCGCCGTGTCCTCGAACCTCATTCAGGTTGATTTGGAGTTGGGCAATCAAGTAACCGAACGCGATCTGAATAATCAAGATCTGCGGTAACTGTCTTCGCAACCGTATGCAGAATCCAATAAACTGTATCGTAAATACTGGACGCATGAACACCGGACACATGGCTCGAAATTCGATCGATTAGACACCGATCTGAGGGCAGTGCATATTGAAAAAACTGATATTGTCCACAAGAATTCGGCCGTTCGACAACAACAACCGGTTGTTTTGCCGGAAACGAGAAAGCGCTTCAGTAGTTCACAAAGCGATCACCAAACAGTGCTGTATTACCGCACAACCTATCACGGGAAACGGATTTTACACCCTATTTACGGCTATTTCATGAAGAAACATACAAGCAACTAAGTGAGGGGAAACTTACTCACATTTAAGTATTCCCGATAGAATTCCGGAGTGACTGGGCACCAGACCTCGGCACACTGAACACGTGCGATGAAACCGCGTTGTTGCAATTCTAACCAGTTGGCCTCGTACAGTTTGGGGCCGATGAGAAAGTTCAAATCGGTAATTTTGTCATCTTCACGAACCAGTGTGGCAGTCAAACCCAATTTACAATGCGCCTGGACCAAGGTGAGCACACGACGGAACATTTTCGCGGGTATCGTGTGGACCTGATTGATGAATGAGGTTGGGCAGGAGGAGGGGGAGGAGTGGGAACAGAGTACGAGTAATCCTACAAGATCGGCAAATCCCTGATTGGGTACTAACACAAACTCCTACTGTGTGGGCTGACTGAGCGGTCAACATCAAAAACCACAAATGTGAGCATCAAAACGAATACGAAGGGGAAACCAACAGTTAACAAGTGGTGCCACTTTTGACTGCCGAAAATCAATCAATAAAATATGAACGGCGCATGGACGAAGCTGAAATGACCGCTAGATAACAACTCCCAATGCACTGGAGAAAACAGGAATATACCTGACAACTTTGCCTAATATGTATACATATATGACAGCTTTGTTATCAACGGTGTTCATTGTTTATATATATAGGACCGGTTTTGCGGTTCATGCAGCTCCTCAGGTCGTGTGCTGCCACGGAAATTTTGTCGAGTCATTCAGATACTACTTATTACGCAATATTCTATAAATACGTTTAAGACACGTCTGTAGCATCAACCCACCAATAAAGGACATCGAATCACAGTAGTGATTCTTCAACGGACTAGCTCTGAAAGAGCTATCAATCCGAAATTGAAATTGAAAATGAGTTTATTGTGACGTTGAACTCTCATAAAATTCACAATCTCACGTTGGATGCCAGAGGGATCAGAACGGTGTTACGAATCATACGGTTGCTGACCAACCAGCTGAAGTTTCCACTGCCTTCTAATATCGGCTACTGCTTTACTCCCGTTTACAGTTGCCATCGTGGAGATCAATGGCCCGGACAAACCATAACTCCCTGGTACTACTGATGCACTGCCAAAATCGACCGGCGCCAAAAAGCTCAGTCATTCGGCAAAAGTCTCTCGACCGTTGAATGTATTTTGCACATTTTATATCACAACGCTATCCGCAAAAAATGACACCCTAGACACCAACTTCTTACATGGCGTTATTATTAAATGGAGAGTTTGTAATGAAGTCTGTTTAAGAATTCAGTATAGAGTGAAACTCAATAATTGAATAGGCGTGGCAGAAGTACATAACAGTGACTATATTCTGAGATAAGGGAAGTACCGTTCGACGGCAACACTATTTGAATGATGTCCACCAAACGATCACATTGTTGGAACGGTCGATATTCTGACTTTCATTTTCATTTCATGAGCTGTTTTTATGATACTCGGAGCGCACAAAACAGCCTGAGCAAATGAGCAAGAGACGACATGAACAGTTCCCATCGAAACGAAGCTAGTATTTTTTTTTAATGCCACAGTACGCGGTACAATTTATACTGATTGAGACTGCCGAACGATATTTGATCAGCTGTACAAAAATCCAAATCAACAATATCAGAAACACTGGTTTGGCAAACCTATGCGTTCTTGAATTGGATGTGTGTGTGGGGAAAAAATTAATGGCAGTCGATTCGTGATATGCTGTCAACCCTACAGTCTGTGAAAAGATCCGTCAAACGAGAAACCCGTGTCCACTAAACGAACTGACTGAGAGAAAGAAGTATTGAGCAAACGAATGCACTTGAATTGAATTCATGTGTAATCAATAGATTGTCCGTTCAAACTAGGAAGCAATTCTTTCTGTAATGCAATGGAGTCAGTCATGAAGCGAGGTTGCGTATAGATGGAAATGTGCATAGATCACGAACCAGTACAGGTGGACGAGAAAAATCCGAAAATCCGCACATGAAACTGAGCAAGCAAAAGGAACTAATGGAAAATTACAGAAGCAATTGATGAGGCACAACCGAGAGAGAGAGAGAGAGAGAGAGAGTAAACCATGACAGCAGGATGTTCTTCTAAAGCACGACTGCAATGAGCGAAGTGAATTGAACGTAATGAAAAGCCAGGATGGCCGTCAACCGCAACATCTGCCGAACGAATCCTACATTGCCGTTATTGTCTGCATGTTTGTTTGTGTGGATCGCGTGGACAGAACGCCTCCGGTCACACATCGGCTGAATTGTGAGTTTCGAACCATGCCCACATGGGGCTTCATCATGTTGAGGTCAGCACAAGGATAGGATAGGATAGGACAGGATAGGATAGAATACGCGGTGACGGGGGAATTAATCAGTCAAACGACTCAGTGTCCTAAAACACACAAACAAAAGCGAGAGAGGGAGAGAGAGAGAGAATATTCAACCACACATGGACGGGTAAAAGGATACCAGGAAGTGAATGCATCCACGTGCACACGAAAAAAACATTGCGTGAACGTCCACGGACGTACAGTCGAAACGCATGCATGCAACAGATAGCTCACCAACCTGA